TGGACCCGCGCAACACAGAAATTGGATCCACGAAACTCTCCCACACCCGAAAGGGGATCCAATTGGATCCATTGATGTTCTCATATTTTAATCCAGGAGGGAAGAAACTTTCGGCCTGGGGATGTATCCTTAGAAGGCAGTTTACAAAGCTGTCGGTCGTCCGCACGGCGCCCAACAGCGCATCCAATCGCGCGCAAAGCAGGCTTAATGCATCTGCCTGCCATGACGCTATTAAGCGTTATTGGCGCTATTGGTCACGACAGAAGCCGTGATACTTTATCATGCTACAAGAAGAGAAGTGGCATCGACCTGTGCGACGTCACGCCCGCGGGCCCCGGTGCTTCCGAACCCGAAGCCCACGGCCCAGGCCCTGAGAGAGACACCCGAACAACACAGCCATATGTTCCGAGGGGAGCTCCGTGTCCTTGTTCGCGTACCTCTGCAAGAGCCTTCCCGCAAAGCCAAGCAATGTCAACCTTTCGGGAAGACCCAGGGCAAGTGGCCGATAGAAGAGGAAGAAAGCCGTGAAGAAGTTGTGGAGCCAAAAGTGCCAGAAGTTGTAGTTCGGGTCCTTGAGGGCCGAAATCTGCTCTTCAACTGCGTCCTTCGGAAATCCAAGCTCCATAGTCTTTGCGATACCCACAACGGCAAAATAGATGGCGATGGCGGCCCAAAGAACCCAATGCGGTGCTGTGCTGATGGTGAACAGAGTGTACAACCAATAGCCGAGGAACCCCAGGAGCACCAGTGTTAATGGTGCGTTCAACTTTGCAACTGTGGGGAACTTGTCAGCATAATGTTCGATCAGACCCTGGATACCAAAGACCACAGTCAGGACTGCGATCGGGTGTGGACAAAATGTAACGGTACGCCCAATGATCCAACCACCGATGATGTGGTAGATGTAGAAGAACCAAGCTGGAAGAACTGGGAAGCTTTCTCCGACCATGGTGCCTACTAGGTGCGGAAGGATTGCGAAGGTCCTGGTCTGTCGACCTGATATGTATTAGGGATGATGGTCCTGCGTCGAGCCAAAACGGCTTCGACCAAAATGGCTACGGAGCTCTCATGGGGGCCTCTTGATACACCACAACAGCCGCGTGCATTGCAGCACCACGTCGCCCATGCACGCCGCAGTGCCAGTGCATACTGCAGCAACCGTTGTTTACAATAGGCTTCTACAAACAACCACTGCTCGTCATAGGATTCATAAAAGAAGCCCTATGGAAAATGGAGCGCCTCTGGACTCCACATAACCCCATTTGTACATAGAGTTTGAAAAAGAATCGCTATGGAAAACGAAACGCCTCTGGACTCCACAGAAAAACCGTTGTTTGATAAAGGAAGCCCTCTGGAAATTGAAACTGGGGCGCCTCTTGATTCCACAGAAAACTAACGTTTTATATACACATTTTGAAAGAATCCCTATGGAAACTGGAGCGCCTGTACACGCGTGCACAAAAATAAAAATAAGCGCAACGGGCAGAACCCTGCGTACACCACTAACGCCTGTTCGACAACCACAGCAGATCCGCGAGCGACACAGCGTTCGTGTACACTCACATTGCCTGCGTGCACCACGGCGCTTGTCTGCACCACAGCACCGCCTGTGTACACAGCAGCAAGCCGTGTGCAACGCAGCGCCGAGTACACCACACTGCCTGCGTGAACTACAATCTATACGTGTATTAAGGACGGGTGAAAAGGACGCAAGACCCTGGATCACACCGAAGTTGGAAATTTGTTGGGGGTGGGCTACCAATGGAAAGCGGCAAAAGACGAGGCCGCAGAGGCAAGGACACAAGGGTACCTTGGAGAAGGCGCGCGTCCTTATTAGGCGCGCTGACTGATCGCACTACAACCGAGCACCAGCCAGAAGGAAGAGAGAGAGAGAGAGCCGCCACATTTTGCACTTGCGGACGAGTGGTCGAACCAGCTTGCGTAAGCTGAACCATCGCCAGCTGCATTGGACGACGACGACACGTAACGCGGATCCATCAAAACGCGACGACGACGAAGACGACGACTACGACGACGACGACGACGACGACGACGACGACGACGGACGACGGACGACGGACGACGGACGACGGACGACGGACGACGGACGACGGACGACGGACGACGGACGACGGACGGACGACGACGACGACGACTGCGAGCGCCACAACACGTTTGTGAGAACAAATGCATGCCTTTCAAACCACGCCATGCCTATGAGCACAGCAACAAACCTGCGGGGGGTCCGCTCCCAGCATGTAGGGTGGGGCCAGGCCCCCCCTCCCTCATCCTTCCCCTCTTTATCCTGGGAAGACCTCCCTCCCCCGTAGAATCATAGCATTGGTCTGCAGATCCACAGCCCCGTGGATAGCATGATGCTTCACTTGCGGTGCTCCGCGGATCCCATTTCCCCTGGGTCCCGGGTGTTAATTATTACTATATATATATATATATATATGTTCCCGGGATATAAATGGATCCATCGTTTTTTCACACGCAGGAAATTGGACCCGCGCAACACAGAAATAGATCCACGAAACTCTCCCACACCCCAAAAGGGATCCAATTGGATCCATTGATATTCTCATATTTTAATCCAGGAGGGAAGAAACTTTCGGCCTGGGGATGTACCCTTAGAAGGCAGTTTACGAAGCTGTCGGTCGTCCGCACGGCGCCCAACAGCGCATCCAATCGCGCGCAAAGCAGACATAATGCATCTGCCTGCCATGACGCTATTAAGCGCTATTGGCGCTAGTAGTCACGGACAGAAAAAGCCGAGGAACTTTATATCATGCTTACAATGAAAGAATTGGCACCGTGACCTGTGAGACGTCACGCGAAGCACCATCTGGCACCGATCCCGATGCCCCCGGCAAAGGACATAGAACAGACAAAACCAACAACACAGCATATTGGCCAGGTGGAGCTCCGTGACCATGTTCGAGTACCTCTGCAAAGAGCCGTCCCGCCAAAGACAATCAATGCATCCTTCGGGGAAGGAGCGCCTGGGCAAAGCCGAAAAAAAATGAATAGATTGTGGCCGATGGGAGAGGAAGAAAGCCGTGAAGAAGTTGTAGCCCAAACGTGCCAAAAGTTGTAGTACGGGTCCTTTGAGGGCCGAATCTGCTCATCAACTTCTTCTTCGGAAATTCCAAAAGCTGCACGCACTTTGCGAAACCCACAAACTGCAAAAATAGAAGGCGATGGCGGCCCAAAGAACCCAATGCGGTGCTGTGCTGATGGCGAACAGAGTGTACAACCAAAAGCCGAGGAACCCCAGGAGCACCAGTGTTAATGGTGCGTTCAACTTTGCAACTGTGGGGAACTTGTCAGCATAATGTTCGATCAGACCCTGGATACCAAAGACCACAGTCAGGACTGCGATCGGTTGTGGACAAAATGTAACGGTACGCCCAATGATCCAACCACCGATGACGTGGTAGATGTAGAAGAACCAAGCTGGAAGAACTGGGAAGCTTTCTCCGACCATGGTGCCTACTAGGTGCGGAAGGATTGCGAAGGTTCTGGTCTGTCGACCTGATATGTATTAGGGATGATGGTCCTGCGTCGAGCCAAAACGGCTTCGACCAAAATGGCTACGGAGCTCTCTTGGGGGCCTCTTGGTACACCACAACAGCCGCGTGCATTGCAGCACCACGTCGCCCATGCACGCCGCAGTGCCAGTGCATACTGCAGCAACCGTTGTTTATAATAGGCTTCTACAAACAACCACTGCTCGTCATAGGATTCAGAAAAGAAGCCCTATGGGAAGTGGAGCGCCTCTGGACTCCACATAACCCCATTTGTACATAGAGTTTGAAAAAGAATCGCTATGGAAAACGAAACAACCGTTGTTTGATAAAGGAAGCCCTCTGGAAATTGAAACTGGGGCGCCTCTTGATTCCACAGAAAACTAACGTTTTATATACACATTTTGAAAGAATCCCTATGGAAACTGGAGCGCCTGAGGATTCTACACGCGTGCACCAGAACTCCTGCGTACACCGCAAAGCCTGCGTACACCACAGCAGCCGCGTGCGACACAGCGTCGGTGTACACCACAGTGCCTGCGTGAAACACCACAGCGCTTGCGTACACCACACCGCCTGTGTACACAGAAGCAGCCGTGTGCAACGCAGCGCCGGTGTGCACCACACTGCCTGCGTGAACTACAATCGATACGTGCATTAAGGACGAACGATAGGGGGGACGCAGACCCCTGGACACCGAAAATTGGCATTTGTTGTTAGCAAGAGCTGGCCAAGAAGTGGCACAAAGGACAGGCCGCAGAGGCAATGGACACCGGGTACCCTGAGGAAGGGCGCATCTCCATTAGGCGCGTTCACCGCAACGCGCTTCAACGAGAGCACAGCCAGAAGGAAGAAAAAGAGAGCCACGCATTTGCATTTGTGGAAGAGTGGTCGAACCATCGCCAGCTGCATTGGACGACGTGACGACGACGACGACGACGACGACGACGACGACGACGACGACGGCGACGACGACGAAGACGACGACTACGACCGCGACGACGACGACGACGACGACGACGACGGACGACGGACGACGGACGACGGACGACGGACGACGGACGACGGACGACGGACGACGACGACGACGACGACGACGACGACGACGACGACGACGACGACGACGACGACGACTGCGAGCGCCACAACACGTTCGTGAGAACCAATGCCTGCCTTTCAAACCACGCCATGCCTCTGAGCACAGCAACAAACCTGCGGGGGGTCCGCTCCCAGCATGTAGGGTGGGGCCAGGCCCCCCCTCCCTCATCCTTCCCCTCTTCATCCTGGGAAGACCCCCCTCCCCCGTAGAATCATAGCATTGGTCTGCAGATCCACAGCCCCGTGGATAGCATGATGCTTCACTTGCGGTGCTCCGCGGATCCCATTTCCCCTGGGTCCCGGGTGATAATGATTACTCTATATATCTATATATATATATATATATATTCCCGGGAAATGAATGGATCCGTCGTTTTTTCACACACAGGAAATTGGACCCGCGCAACACAGAAATAGGATCCACGAAACTCCCCCACACCCGAAAAGGGATCCAATTGGATCCATTGATGTTCTCATATTTTAACCCAGGAGGGAAGAAACTTTCGGCCTGGGGATGTATCCTTAGAAGGCAGTTTACAAAGCTGTCGGTCGTCCGCACGGCGCCCAACAGCGCATCCAATCGCGCGCAAAGCAGGCATAGTGCATCTGCCTGCCATGACGCTATTGGCGCTATTGGCGCTTTTGGTCACGACAGAAGCCGTGATACTTTATCATGCTACAAGAAGAGAAGTGGCATCGACCTGTGCGACGTCACGCCGAAGGCACCATCGGCCTCCGATCCCGATGCCCACGGCAAAGGACATGAGACAGACACCGAACAACACAGCCATATGTGCCGAGGGGAGCTCCGTGTCTTGTTCGCGTACCTCTGCAAGAGCCGTCCCGCCAAAGTCAATCAATGCATCTTTCGGGAAGACGCCTGGGCAAGTGGCCGATAGGAAGAGGAAGAAAGCCGTGAAGAAGTTGTGGAGCCAAAAGTGCCAAAAGTTGTAGTTCGGGTCCTTGAGGGCCGAAATCTGCTCTTCAACTGTGTCCTTCGGAAATCCAAGCTCCATAGTCTTTGCGATACCCACAACGGCAAAATAGATGGCGATGGCGGCCCAAAGAACCCAATGCGGTGCTGTGCTGATGGCGAACAGAGTGTACAACCAATAGCCGAGGAACCCCAGGAGCACCAGTGTTAATGGCGCGTTCAACTTTGCAACTGTGGGGAACTTGTCAGCATAATGTTCGATCAGACCCTGGATACCAAAGACCACAGTCAGGACTGCGATCGGGTGTGGACAAAATGTAACGGTACGCCCAATGATCCAACCACCGATGATGTGGTAGATGTAGAAGAACCAAGCTGGAAGAACTGGGAAGCTTTCGCCGACCATGGTGCCTACTAGGTGCGGAAGGATTGCGAAGGTCCTGGTCTGTCGACCTGATATGTATTAGGGATGATGGTCCTGCGTCGAGTCAAAACGGCTTCGACCAAAATGGCTACGGAGCTCTCTTGGGGGCCTCTTGATCCACAACACAGCCGCGTGCATTGCAGCACCACGTCGCCCATGCACACCGCAGTGCCAGTGCATACTGCAGCAACCGTTGTTTACAATAGGCTTCTACAAACAAACCACTGCTCGTCATAGGATTCATAAAAGAAGCCCTATGGAAAATGGAGCGCCTCTGGACTCCACATAACCCCATTTGTACATAGAGTTTGAAAAAGAATCGCTATGGAAAACGAAACGCCTCTGGACTCCACAGAAAAACCGTTGTTTGATAAAGGAAGCCCTCTGGAAATTGAAACTGGGGCGCCTCTTGATTCCACAGAAAACTAACGTTTTATATACACATGTTGAAAGAATCCCTATGGAAACTGGAGCGCCTGTACACGCGTGCACCAGAACTCCTGCGTACACCACAACGCCTGTGTACACCACAGCAGCCGCGTGCGACACAGCGTCGGTGTACACCACAGTGCCTGCGTGCACCACAGCGCTTGCGTACACCACACCGCCTGTGTACACAGCAGCAGCCGTGTGCAACGCAGCGCCGGTGTACACCACACTGCCTGCGTGAACTACAATCGATACGTGCATTAAGGACGGGTGATAAGGACGCAAGACCCTTGGACACCGAAGTTGGAATTTGTGTTGCAAAAGCTGGCCAATGAAAGCGGCAAAGGACAGGCCGCAGAGGCAAGGACACCGGGGTACCCTGGAGAAGGCGCGCATCCTCATTAGGCGCGTTCACCGCATCGCGCTTCAACCGAGCACCAGCCAGAAGGAAGAAAAAGAGAGCCACCGCACTTTGCATTTGTGGAAGAGTGGTCGAACCATCGCCAGCTGCATTGGACGACGTGACGACGACGACGACGACGACGACGACGACGACGACGACGACGGCGACGACGACGAAGACGACGACTACGACCGCGACGACGACGACGACGACGACGACGACGGACGACGGACGACGGACGACGGACGACGGACGACGGACGACGGACGACGGACGACGACGACGACGACGACGACTGCGAGCGCCAGACACGTTTGTGAGAACCAATGCATGCCTTCACAAACCCGCCAGCCTATGAGAAGCTGTGTCTTCGGGCCAGGTCCGCTCCAGCATGTAGGTGGGCCAGGCCCCCCCTCCCTCATCCTTCCCCTCTTTATCCTGGGAAGACCTCCCTCCCCCGTAGAATCATAGCATTGGTCTGCAGATCCACAGCCCCGTGGATAGCATGATGCTTCACTTGCGGTGCTCCGCGGATCCCATTTCCCCTGGGTCCCGGGTGTTAATTATTACTATATATATGTTCCCGGGAAATAAATGGATCCATCGTTTTTTCACACGCAGGAAATTGGACCCGCGCAACACAGAAATAGATCCACGAAACTCTCCCACACCCGACAAGGGATCCAATTGGATCCATTGATATTCTCATATTTTAATCAAGGAGGGAAGAAACTTTCGGCCTGGGGATGTACCCTTAGAAGGCAGTTTACGAAGCTGTCGGTCGTCCGCACGGCGCCCAACAGCGCATCCAATCGCGCGCAAAGCAGACATAATGCATCTGCCTGCCATGACGCTATTAAGCGCTATTGGCGCTGTTGGTCACGACAGAAGCCGTGGTACTTTATCATGCTACAAGAAGAGAAGTGGCATCGACCTGTGCGACGTCACGCCGAAGGCACCATCGGCCTCCGATCCCGATGCCCACGGCAAAGGACATGAGACAGACACCGAACAACACAGCCATATGTGCCGAGGGGAGCTCCGTGTCTTGTTCGCGTACCTCTGCAAGAACCGTCCCGCCAAAGTCAATCAATGCATCTTTCGGGAAGACGCCTGGGCAAGTGGCCGATAGGAAGAGGAAGAAAGCCGTGAAGAAGTTGTGGAGCCAAAAGTGCCAAAAGTTGTAGTTCGGGTCCTTGAGGGCCGAAATCTGCTCTTCAACTGTGTCCTTCGGAAATCCAAGCTCATAGTCTTTGCGATACCCACCACGGAAAATAGATGCGATGAATCAAGAACAAACCCAGTGCGGTGCTGTGCTGATGGCGAACAGAAGTGTACAAACCATAGCCGAGGACCCAGGAGCACCATGTTAATGGTGCGTTCAACTTTGCAACTGTGGGGAACTTGTCAGCATAATGTTCGATCAGACCCTGGATACCAAAGACCACAGTCAGGACTGCGATCGGTGTGGACAAAATGTAACGGTACGCCCAATGATCCAACCACCGATGACGTGGTAGATGTAGAAGAACCAAGCTGGAAGAACTGGGAAGCTTTCTCCGACCATGGTGCCTACTAGGTGCGGAAGGATTGCGAGGTTCTGGTCTGTCGACCTGATATGTATTAGGGATGATGGTCCTGCGTCGAGCCAAAACGGCTTCGACCAAAATGGCTACGGAGCTCTCTTGGGGGCCTCTTGGTACACCACAACAGCCGCGTGCATTGCAGCACCACGTCGCCCATGCACGCCGCAGTGCCAGTGCATACTGCAGCAACCGTTGTTTATAATAGGCTTCTACAAACAACCACTGCTCGTCATAGGATTCATAAAAGAAGCCCTATGGGAAGTGGAGCGCCTCTGGACTCCACATAACCCCATTTGTACATAGAGTTTGAAAAAGAATCGCTATGGGAAACGAAACAACCGTTGTTTGATAAAGGAAGCCCTCTGGAAATTGAAACTGGGGCGCCTCTTGATTCCACAGAAAACTAACGTTTTATATACACATTTTGAAATAATCCCTATGGAAACTGGAGCGCCTGAGGATTCCACACGCGTGCACCAGAACTCCTGCGTACACCGCAACGCCTGCGTACACCACAGCAGCCGCGTGCGACACAGCGTCGGTGTACACCACAGTGCCTGCGTGAAACACCACAGCGCTTGCGTACACCACACCGCCTGTGTACACAGAAGCAGCCGTGTGCAACGCAGCGCCGGTGTGCACCACACTGCCTGCGTGAACTACAATCGATACGTGCATTAAGGACGGGTGATAAGGACGCAAGACCCTTGGACACCGAAATTGGAATTTGTGTTGCAAAAGCTGGCCAATGAAAGCGGCAAAGGACAGGCCGCAGAGGCAAGGACACCGGGGTACCCTGGAGAAGGCGCGCATCCTTATTAGGCGCGTTCACCGCATCGCGCTTCAACCGAGCACCAGCCAGAAGGAAGAAAAAGAAAGCCACCGCACTATGAATTTGTGGAAGAGTGGTCGAACCATCGCCAGCTTCATTGGACGACGTGACGACGACGACGACGACGACGACGACGACGACGACGACGACGACGGCGACGGCGACGACGGCGACGACGACGACGACGAAGACGACGACTACGACGACGACGACGACGACGACGACGACGACGACGACGACGACGGACGACGAACGACGAACGACGGACGACGCACGACGGACGACGGACGACGGACGACGGACGACGGACGACGACGACGACGACGACGACGACGACGACGACGACGACGACGACGACGACGACGACGACGACGACGACTGCGAGCGCCAGAACACGTTTGTGAGAACCAATGCATGCCTTTCAAACCACGCCATGCCTATGAGCACAGCAACAAACCTGCGGGGGGTCCGCTCCCAGCATGTAGGGTGGGGCCAGGCCCCACCTCCCTCATCCTTCCCCTCTTCATCCTGGGAAGACCCCCCTCCCCCGTAGAATCATAGCATTGGTCTGCAGATCCACAGCCCCGTGGATAGCATAATGCTTCACTTGCGGTGCTCCGCGGATCCCATTTCCCCTGGGTCCCGGGTGTTAATCCCACCAGCCCTCTGGGCGTCGGTGGTTTAGGGCGTTTCCTCTTCCACCCCTCCCTCTTCCCCTTCGGGGAGGGGTTTACCCCTCCCCCTACCCCCTCCCCACTGACCTGGACAGGAGGGGCGGGGAGCGGTCAGAGCGTCCAAAACGGCCTCGGCGAGGAAGCCAAAATCATTGATTTTACTATGGTTTTGGCCCCATTTTGGCCTTCTGAGGGGGCAGCGCTAATTAGAGCTCCCCTCTTCTTTGATCGATTTCCTCCACGATGGCCGCAAGAGGCCCCCAGGATGCCCCAAGAGGCCCCGAGATGGCCCCAAGATGGCCCCATGTGGCCCCAAGAAGCTCCCAAGAGGCCCCCAGGATGCCCCCAAGAGGCTCCCAAGAGACCCCCACGAGGCCCCAAGAGACCCCCCAGAGGCACCCAAGACGCTCCAAGAGGCCTCGGCGAGAATGCCCAAATCATTGATTTTACTAAGGTTTTGGCCACATTTGGGCCTCCTGGGGGGGGTGGCACTGCTTCAGATGACTCCAAGAGCGCCTGGAAGAGCCCAAGATGACCTCCAAGATGGCTCAAGATATCCCAAGATGCCTCAAGATGGCTCCCACGATGCTCCAAGAGGCCACAAGACCGCTTCAGGACGGCTCCAAGTGGCCAAAGAGCTCCCCCAGGAGGCCCCGAAGAGGCCAAAATCCTTCCAAAACCTTTGGAAAATCAACATTTTTGGCTTTCTCGCCTTTTCGCTTCCGATGGCCATCCGAGGCTTCAAGATGACTCCAAGATGGCCCAAGAGGGCTCCAAGAGCGCTCTGAAGGCTCCCAACAGCGCTTCAAGAGGGCCCCACGAGGCGCCCATGAGGCCCCAGGAGGCCCCAACAAGCGCCCCAGAGGCCTCCAAGAGGCCCCCAAGAGACCCCCAAGAGGCCCCAAGAAGCTCTCCAAAGCACCCAAAACGCTCTAAGAGGCGTCCGGGACCGCCAAGAGGCCCCTAAGACGCTCCAACCGGCCTCCACTGAGGTACCCTTCCTTTGTGTGCTGCCCACTTCCCTGATCGAGGCACTTCCTCTGGGCATCGTTTCTGGATGGGCTGGTGGGGTTACGCGAAGCGTCTAGAATTATTACTATATATATATATATATATGTATATATATGTTCCCGGGAAATGAATGGATCCGTCGTTTTTTCACACACTGGAAATTGGACCCGCGCAACACAGAAATAGGATCCACGAAACTCTCCCACATCCGAAAAGGGATCCAATTGGATCCATTGATGTTCTCATATTTTTAATCCAGGAGAGAAGAAACTTTCGGCCTGGGGACGTATCCTTAGAAGGCAGTTTACGAAGCTGTCGGTCGTCCGCACGGCGCCCAACACCGCATCCAATCGCGCGCAAAGCAGACATAATGCATCTGCCTGCCATGACGCTATAAGCGCTATTGGCGCTGTTGGTCACGACAGAAGCCGTGATACTTTATCATGCTACAAGAAGAGAAGTGGCATCGACCTGTGCGACGTCACGCCGAAGGCACCATCGGCCTCCGATCCCGATGCCCACGGCAAAGGACACGAGACAGACACCGAACAACACAGCCATATGTGCCGAGGGGAGCTCCGTGTCTTGTTCGCGTACCTCTGCAAGAGCCGTCCCGCCAAAGTCAATCAATGCATCTTTCGGGAAGACGCCTGGGCAAGTGGCCGATAGGAAGAGGAAGAAAGCCGTGAAGAAGTTGTGGAGCCAAAAGTGCCAAAAGTTGTAGTTCGGGTCCTTGAGGGCCGAAATCTGCTCTTCAACTGTGTCCTTCGGAAATCCAAGCTCCATAGTCTTTGCGATACCCACAACGGCAAAATAGATGGCGATGGCGGCCCAAAGAACCCAATGCGGTGCTGTGCTGATGGCGAACAGAGTGTACAACCAATAGCCGAGGAACCCCAGGAGCACCAGTGTTAATGGTGCGTTCAACTTTGCAACTGTGGGGAACTTGTCAGCATAATGTTCGATCAGACCCTGGATACCAAAGACCACAGTCAGGACTGCGATCGGGTGTGGACAAAATGTAACGGTACGCCCAATGATCCAACCACCGATGATGTGGTAGATGTAGAAGAACCAAGCTGGAAGAACTGGGAAGCTTTCGCCGACCATGGTGCCTACTAGGTGCGGAAGGATTGCGAAGGTCCTGGTCTGTCGACCTGATATGTATTAGGGATGATGGTCCTGCGTCGAGCCAAAACGGCTTCGACCAAAATGGCTACGGAGCTCTCTTGGGGGCCTCTTGATACACCACAACAGCCGCGTGCATTGCAGCACCACGTCGCCCATGCACACCGCAGTGCCAGTGCATACTGCAGCAACCGTTGTTTACAATAGGCTTCTACAAACAAACCACTGCTCGTCATAGGATTCATAAAAGAAGCCCTATGGAAAATGGAGCGCCTCTGGACTCCACATAACCCCATTTGTACATAGAGTTTGAAAAAGAATCGCTATGGAAAACGAAACGCCTCTGGACTCCACAGAAAAACCGTTGTTTGATAAAGGAAGCCCTCTGGAAATTGAAACTGGGGCGCCTCTTGATTCCACAGAAAACTAACGTTTTATATACACATGTTGAAAGAATCCCTATGGAAACTGGAGCGCCTGTACACGCGTGCACCAGAACTCCTGCGTACACCACAACGCCTGTGTACACCACAGCAGCCGCGTGCGACACAGCGTCGGTGTACACCACAGTGCCTGCGTGCACCACAGCGCTTGCGTACACCACACCGCCTGTGTACACAGCAGCAGCCGTGTGCAACGCAGCGCCGGTGTGCACCACACTGCCTGCGTGAACTACAATCGATACGTGCATTAAGGACGGGTGATAAGGACGCAAGACCCTTGGACACCGAAGTTGGAATTTGTGTTGCAAAAGCTGGCCAATGAAAGCGGCAAAGGACAGGCCGCAGAGGCAAGGACACGGGGTACCCTGGAGAAGGCGCGCATCCTCATTAGGCGCGTTCACCGCATCGCGCTTCAACCGAGCACCAGCCAGAAGGAAGAAAAAGAGAGCCACCGCACTATGCATTTGTGGAAGAGTGGTCGAACCATCGCCAGCTGCATTGGACGACGTGACGACGACGACGACGACGACGACGACGACGACGACGACGACGGCGACGACGACGAAGACGACGACTACGACGACGACGACGACGACGACGACGACGACGACGGACGACGGACGACGGACGACGGACGACGGACGACGGACGACGGACGACGGACGACGGACGACGGACGACGGACGGACGACGACGACGACGACTGCGAGCGCCACAACACGTTTGTGAGAACAAATGCATGCCTTTCAAACCACGCCATGCCTATGAGCACAGCAACAAACCTGCGGGGGGTCCGCTCCCAGCATGTAGGGTGGGGCCAGGCCCCCCCTCCCTCATCCTTCCCCTCTTTATCCTGGGAAGACCTCCCTCCCCCGTAGAATCATAGCATTGGTCTGCAGATCCACAGCCCCGTGGATAGCATGATGCTTCACTTGCGGTGCTCCGCGGATCCCATTTCCCCTGGGTCCCGGGTGTTAATTATTACTATATATATATATATATATATGTTCCCGGGATATAAATGGATCCATCGTTTTTTCACACGCAGGAAATTGGACCCGCGCAACACAGAAATAGATCCACGAAACTCTCCCACACCCCAAAAGGGATCCAATTGGATCCATTGATATTCTCATATTTTAATCCAGGAGGGAAGAAACTTTCGGCCTGGGGATGTACCCTTAGAAGGCAGTTTACGAAGCTGTCGGTCGTCCGCACGGCGCCCAACAGCGCATCCAATCGCGCGCAAAGCAGACATAATGCATATGCCTGCCATGACGCTATAAGCGCTATTGGCGCTGTTGGTCACGACAGAAGCCGTGGTACCTTATCATGCTACGAGAAGAGAAGTGGCATCGACCTGTGCGACGTCACGCCGAAGGCACCATCGGCCTCCGATCCCGATGCCCACGGCAAAGGACATGAGACAGACACCGAACAACACAGCCATATGTGCCGAGGGGAGCTCCGTGTCTTGTTCGCGTACCTCTGCAAGAGCCGTCCCGCCAAAGTCAATCAATGCATCTTTCGGGAAGACGCCTGGGCAAGTGGCCGATAGGGAGAGGAAGAAAGCCGTGAAGAAGTTGTGGAGCCAAAAGTGCCAAAAGTTGTAGTTCGGGTTCTTGAGGGCCGAAATCTGCTCTTCAACTGTGTCCTTCGGAAATCCAAGCTCCATAGTCTTTGCGATACCCACAACGGCAAAATAGATGGCGATGGCGGCCCAAAGAACCCAATGCGGTGCTGTGCTGATGGCGAACAGAGTGTACAACCAATAGCCGAGGAACCCAAGGAGCACCAGTGTTAATGGTGCGTTCAACTTTGCAACTGTGGGGAACTTGTCAGCATAATGTTCGATCAGACCCTGGATACCAAAGACCACAGTCAGGACTGCGATCGGGTGTGGACAAAATGTAACGGTACGCCCAATGATCCAACCACCGATGATGTGGTAGATGTAGAAGAACCAAGCTGGAAGAACTGGGAAGCTTTCTCCAACCATGGTGCCTACTAGGTGCGGAAGGATTGCGAAGGTCCTGGTCTGTCGACCTGATATGTATTAGGGATGATGGTCCTGCGTCGAGCCAAAACGGCTTCGACCAAAATGGCTACGGAGCTCTCTTGAGGCCTCTTCATACACCACAACAGCCGCGTGCATTGCAGCACCACGTCGCCCATGCACACCGCAGTGCCAGTGCATACTGCAGCAACCGTTGTTTACAATAGGCTTCTACAAACAACCACTGCTCGTCAGTGGATTCATAAAAGAAGCCCTATGGAAAATGGAGCGCCTCTGGACTCCACATAACCCCATTTGTACATAGAGTTTGAAAAAGAATCGCTATGGAAAACGAAACGCCTCTGGACTCCACAGAAAAACCGTTGCTTGATAAAGGAAGCCCTCTGGAAATTGAAACTGGGGCGCCTCTTGATTCCACAGAAAACTAACGTTTTATATACACATTTTGAAAGAATCCCTATGGAAATTGGAGCGCCTGAGGATTCTACACGCGTGCGCCAGAACTCCTGCGTACACCACAACGCCTGTGTACACCACAGCAGCCGCGTGCAACACAGCGTCGGTGTACACCACAGTGCCTGCGTGCACCACAGCGCTTGCGTACACCACACCGCCTGTGTACACAGCAGCAGCCGTGTGCAACGCAGCGCCGGTGTGCACCACGGTGCCTGCGTTAACTACAATCGATAAGTGCTTTAAGGACGGGTGATAAGGACGCAAGACCCTTGGACACCGAAGTTGGAATTTGTGTTGCAAAAGCTGGCCAATGAAAGCGGCAAAGGACAGGCCGCAGAGGCAAGGACACCGGGGTACCCTGGAGAAGGCGCGCATCCTCATTAGGCGCGTTCACCGCATCGCGCTTTAACCGAGCACCAGCCAGAACGAAGAAAAAGAGAGCCACCGCACTATGCATTTGTGGAAGAGTGGTCGAACCATCGCCAGCTGCATTGGACGACGTGACGACGACGACGACGACGACGACGACGACGACGACGACGGCGACGACGACGAAGACGACGACTACGACGACGACGACGACGACGACGACGACGACGACGACGACGACGGACGACGGACGACGGACGACGACGACGGACGACGGACGACGGACGACGGACGACGGACGACGGACGACGACGACGACGACGACGACGGACGACGACGACGACGACGACTGCGAGCGCCACGACACGTTTGTGAGAACCAATGCGTGCCTTTCAAACCACGCCATGCCTATGAGCACAGCAACAAACCTGCGGGGGGTCCGCTCCCAGCATGTAGGGTGGGGCCAGGCCCCCCCTCCCTCATCCTTCCCCTCTTCATCCTGGGAAGACCCCCCTCCCCCGTAGAATCATAGCATTGGTCTGCAGATCCACAGCCCCGTGGATAGCATGATGCTTCACTTGTGGTGCTCCGCGGATCACATTTCCCCTGGGCCCCGGGTGTTAATTATTACTATATCTATATATATATATATTCCCGGGAAATGAATGGATCCATCGTTTTTTCACACACAGGAAATTGGACCCGCGCAACACAGAAATAGATCCACGAAACTCTCCCACACCCGAAAAGGGATCCAATTGGATCCATTGATATTCTCATATTTTAATCCAGGAGGGAACAAACTTTCGGCCTGGGGATGTACCCTTAGAAGGCAGTTTACGAAGCTGTCGGTCGTCCGCACGGCGCCCAACAGCGCATCCAATCGCGCGCAAAGCAGACATAATGCATCTGCCTGCCATGACGCTATTAAGCGCTATTGGCGCTGTTGGTCACGACAGAAGCCGTGGTACTTTATCATGCTACAAGAAGAGAAGTGGCATCGACCTGTGCGACGTCACGCCGAAGGCACCATCGGCCTCCGATCCCGATGCCCACGGCAAAGGACATGAGACAGACACCGAACAACACAGCCATATGTGCCGAGGGGAGCTCCGTGTCTTGTTCGCGTACCTCTGCAAGAGCCGTCCCGCCAAAGTCAATCAATGCATCTTTCGGGAAGACGCCTGGGCAAGTGGCCGATAGGAAGAGGAAGAAAGCCGTGAAGAAGTTGTGGAGCCAAAAGTGCCAAAAGTTGTAGTTCGGGTCCTTGAGGGCCGAAATCTGCTCTTCAACTGTGTCCTTCGGAAATCCAAGCTCCATAGTCTTTGCGATACCCACAACGGCAAAATAGATGGCGATGGCGGCCCAAAGAACCCAATGCGGTGCTGTGCTGATGGCGAACAGAGTGTACAACCAATAGCCGAGGAACCCCAGGAGCACCAGTGTTAATGGTGCGTTCAACTTTGCAACTGTGGGGAACTTGTCAGCATAATGTTCGATCAGACCCTGGATACCAAAGACCACAGTCAGGACTGCGATCGGGTGTGGACAAAATGTAACGGTACGCCCAATGATCCAACCACCGATGATGTGGTAGATGTAGAAGAACCAAGCTGGAAGAACTGGGAAGCTTTCTCCGACCATGGTGCCTACTAAGTGCGGAAGGATTGCGAAGGTCCTGGTCTGTCGACCTGATATGTATTAGGGATGATGGTCCTGCGTCGAGCCAAAACGGCTTCGACCAAAATGGCTACGGAGCTCTCTTGGGGGCCTCTTGATACACCACAACAGCCGCGTGCATTGCAGCACCACGTCGCCCATGCACACCGCAGTGCCAGTGCATACTGCAGCAACCGTTGTTTACAATAGGCTTCTACAAACAACCACAACTCGTCATAAGATTCATAAAAGAAGCCCTATGGAAAATGGAGCGCCTCTGGACTCCACATAACCCCATTTGTACATAGAGTTTGAAAAAGAATCGTTATGGAAAGCGAAACGCCTCTGGACTCCACAGAAAAACCGTTGCTTGATAAAGGAAGCCCTCTGGAAATTGAAACTGGGGCGCCTCTTGATTCCACAGAAAACTAACGTTTTATATACACATTTTGAAAGAATCCCTATGGAAATTGGAGCGCCTGAGGATTCCACACGCGTGCACCAGAACTCCTGCGTACACCACAACGCCTGTGTACACCACAGCAGCCGCGTGCGACACAGCGTCGGTGTACACCACAGTGCCTGCGCGCACCACAGCGCTTGCGTACACCACACCGCCTGTGTACACAGCAGCAGCCGTGTGCAACGCAGCGCCGGTGTGCACCACGCTGCCTGCGTGAACTACAATCGATACGTGCATTAAGGACGGGTGATAAGGACGCAAGACCCTTGGACACCGAAGTTGGAATTTGTGTTGCAAAAGCTGGCCAATGAAAGCGGCAAAGGACAGGCCGCAGAGGCAAGGACACGGGATACCCTGGAGAAGGCGCGCATCCTCATTAGGCGCGTTCACCGCATCGCGCTTCAACCGAGCACCAGCCAGAAGGAAGAAAAAGAGAGCCACCGCACTATGCATTTGTGGAAGAGTGGTCGAACCATCGCCAGCTGCATTGGACGACGTGACGACGACGACGACGACGACGACGACGACGGCGACGACGACGAAGACGACGACTACGACGACGACGACTACGACGACGACGACGACGACGGACGACTACGACGACGACGACGACGACGACGACGACGACGACGACGGACGACGGACGACGGACGACGGACGACGGACGAAGGACGACGGACGACGGACGACGACGACGACGACGACGACGACGACGACGACGACTGCGAGCGCCACAACACGTTTGTGAGAACCAATGCGTGCCTTTCAAACCACGCCATGCCTATGAGCACAGCAACAAACCTGCGGGGGGTCCGCTCCCAGCATGTAGGGTGGGGCAAGGCCCCCCCTCCCTCATCCTTCCCCTCTTCATCCTAGGAAGACCCCCCTCCCCCGTAGAATCATAGCATTGGTATGCAGATCCACAGCCCCGTGGATAGCATGATGCTTCACTTGTGGTGCTCCGCGGATCCCATTTCCCCCGGGTCCCGGGTGTTAATTATTACTACATATATATATACCCGGGAAATAAATGGATCCATCGTTGTTTCACACACAGGAAATTGGACCCGCGCAACACAGAAATAGGATCCACGAAACTCTCCCACATCCGAAAAGGGAACCAATTGGATCCATTGATGTTCTCATATTTCTAGTCCAAGAGGAAAAACTTTCGGCCTGGGGATGTATCCTTAGAAGGCAGTTTACGAAGCTGTCGGTCGTCCGCACGGCGCCCAACAGCGCATCCAATCGCGCGCAAAGCAGACATAATGCATCTGCCTGCCATGACGCTATTAAGCGCTATTGGCGCTATTGGTCACGACAGAAGCCGTGATACTTTATCATGCTACAAGAAGAGAAGTGGCATCGACCTGTGCGACGTCACGCCGAAGGCACCATCGGCCTCCTATCCCGATGCCCACGGCAAAGGACATGAGACAGACACCGAACAACACAGCCACATGTACTGAGGGGAGCTCCGTGTCTTGTTCGCGTACCTCTGCAAGAGCCGTCCCGCCAAAGTCAATCAATGCATCTTTCGGGAAGACGCCTGGGCAAGTGGCCGATAGGAAGAGGAAGAAAGCCGTGAAGAAGTTGTGGAGCCAAAAGTGCCAAAAGTTGTAGTTCGGGTCCTTGAGGGCCGAAATCTGCTCTTCAACTGTGTCCTTCGGAAATCCAAGCTCCGTAGTCTTTGCGATACCCACAACGGCAAAATAGATGGCGATGGCGGCCCAAAGAACCCAATGCGGTGCTGTGCTGATGGCGAACAGAGTGTACAACCAATAGCCGAGGAACCCCAGGAGCACCAGTGTTAATGGTGCGTTCAACTTTGCAACTGTGGGGAATTGTCAGCATAATGTTCGATCAGACCCTGGATACCAAAGACTCAGGACTGGTCGGGTGTGGACAAAATGTAACGGTACGCCCAATGATCCAACCACCGATGATGTGGTAGATGTAGAAGAACCAAGCTGGAAGAACTGGGAAGCTTTCTCCGACCATGGTGCCTACTAGGTGCGGAAGGATTGCGAAGGTCCTGGTCTGTCGACCTGATATGTATTAGGGATGATGGTCCTGCGTCGAGCCAAAACGGCTTCGACCAAAATGGCTACGGAGCTCTCTTGGGGGCCTCTTGATACACCACAACAGCCGCGTGCATTGCAGCACCACGTCGCCCATGCACACCGCAGTGCCAGTGCATACTGCAGCAACCGTTGTTTACAGTAGGCTTCTACAAACAACCACTGCTCGTCATAGGATTCATAAAAGAAGCCCTATTGAAAATGGAGCGCCTCTGGACTCCACATAACCCCATTTGTACATAGAGTTTGAAAAATAATCGTTATGGAAAGCGAAACGCCTCTGGACTCCACAGAAAAACCGTTGCTTGATAAAGGAAGCCCTCTGGAAATTGAAACTGAGGCGCCTCTTGATTCCACAGAAAACTAACGTTTTATATACACATTTTGAGAGAATCCCTATGGAAATTGGAGCGCATGAGGATTCTACACGCGTGCACCAGGACTCCTGCGTACACCACAACGCCTGTGTACACCACAGCAGCCGCGTGCAACACAGTGTCGGTGTACACCACAGTGCCTGCGTGCACCACAGCGCTTGCGTACACCACACCGCCTGTGTACGCAGCAGCAGCCGTGTGCAACGCAGCGCCGGTGTGCACCACGCTGCCTGCGTGAACTACAATCGATACGTGCATTAAGGACGGGTGATAAGGACGCAAGACCCTTGGACACCGAAGTGGGAATTTGTGTTGCAAAAGCTGGCCAATGAAAGCGGCAAAGGACAGGCCGCAGAGGCAAGGACACGGGGTACCCTGGAGAAGGCGCGCATCCTCATTAGGCGCGTTCACCGCATCGCGCTACAACCGAGCACCAGCCAGAAGGAAGAAAAAGAGAGGCACCGCACTTTGCATTTGTGGAAGAGTGGTCGAACCATCGCCAGCTGCATTGGACGACGTGACGACGACGACGACGACGACGACGACGACGGCGACGACGACGAAGACGACGACTACGACGACGACGACGACGACGACGACGACGACGACGACGACGACGACGACGACGACGACGGACGACGGACGACGGACGACGGACGACGGACGACGGACGACGGACGACGACGACGACGACGACGACGACGACGACGACGACGACGACGACGACGACGACGACGACGACGACGACGACGACTTTTGTGAGAACCAATGCGTGCCTTTCAAATCACGCCATGCCTATGAGCACAGCAACAAACCTGCGGGGGGTCCGCTCCCAGCATGTATGGTGGGGCCAGGCCCCCCCTCCCTCATCCTTCCTCTCTTCATCCTGGGAAGACCCCCCTCCCCCGTAGAATCATAGCATTGGTATGCAGATCCACAGCCCCGTGGATAGCATGATGCTTCACTTGCGGTACTCCGCGGATCCCATTTCCCCTGGGTCCCGGGTGTTAGTTATTACTATATACTTATTCCCGGGAAATAAATGGATCCATCGTTTTCTCACACAGGAAACTGGATCCGCGCAGCACAGAAATAGGATCCACGAAACTCTCCCACACCAAAAAAGGGATACAATTGGATCCATTGATGTTCTCATATTTTTTGTCCAAGAGGAAAAAACTTTCGGCCTGGGGATGAAGGGTTTAGCACAAAGTGTTGGCGGGGGAGACGCAGTTCGAAATCCCACGAAGGATTTAGCACAAAGAGTTGGCGGGGGAGACGCAGTTCGCAGGATTTAGCACACAATGTTGGCGGGGGAGACGCAGTTCGAAATCCCACTGAAGGATTTAGCACAGAGTGTTGGCGGGGGAGACGCAGTTCAAAATCCCACCCAGGGTTTAGCACAAAGTGTTGGCGGGGGAGACGCAATTCGAAATCCCACGTACGCAGGCCGAAAGATTTCCCTCTTGAGCCCCACATGTCGGAAGCGACGCGCCGATCCCCTCGGTTCTCCTCCCCTCCTCTTGCCTCTTCCCTCATCCTTCCCCTCTTCATCCTGGGAAGACCCCCCTCCCCCGTAGAATCATAGCATTGGTATGCAGATCCACAGCCCCGTGGATAGCATGATGCTTCACTTGCGGTGCTCCGCGGATCCCATTTCCCCTGGGTCCAGGGTGTTAATTATTACTACATATTTGTTCCCGGGAAATAACTCGATCCATCGTTTTTCACACACAGCTGTACTTTCAAACTTTCGCTATACAACGAAAATCCGTAATACATGCCTGTTGGCGCTCCTGCGTACAAACATGCAAGAAGCGCACTCCCTTTGGGAACGCGTGTATTGAAGGACCGCGCCATTGCATCCTTCGAGCTCTGGCAAGCAGGGATGGACACGGGCTGCCGCAAGCATACCGAACACGGTCAGCTTGAGATCAAATGGCTACGGAGGGGCCATTTGGGGAAGGTCTTGGACCCTGGCTCAGAAGCGTCCTGAAAACCATCTTGGGCCGTTTTGGACAAGGCAATTCTGCAGCTTCCTGAGGCCGTCCGTGTCGCCCGAAACTGCAACTGCAAGACTTCCGCCGGCTTCTGCCGGCCTTCCGCCGGTGGCCAGGGCCCGATTTCGAGAGGTACTGAGGAGATCGCTGCGACTTGCAACAGCTGCAAGTCCATCTATAGCTGGTGCAGGTTGGGTCCCTGATTTCCTCTTGGAGCAGTTCGGCGGACTTGCACCCCACCTGCAAGCGTCTTGCAAGTGGGTTGCAACCGCCGTGCAACTGTTGCACCCGTTGCATGTCGAACCGACCACAGTACCCCCCCCCAGACCACCTGGGGGACACACAGCGGGAAAACCCCTCGCAGGCTCGGGAGAAAACGACTGTCGCCGGAGGTTCGGGGGGCCCCTCCGACACTCCGAGCCGTGCCAGCGCGGCGCTGCCGCACAGGGTGCCCCTTGTGGGCCCTTCCCGGCCCACAAGTCGCAACTCTGTCCGGGGCATGGCTCGGGTCTCCGTCGGCCGTTCGTCTTAGGTCGGGCATGTCCTCCTACACGCGGATTTTGGACGAAAAATTTGAAGTTCTCCAGAAAAATTCAAAAACATTAAATAATAGGGAAAAATCACCCCTATTTCTGAACTACTTTTTGAAGATTCCTTCTGTAAAGGAGCACGCCCGACTTAACATTCGTCGGGAAAGTCCAAAGGGGGGCGTCCAGCAGCAGCGTTCGCAAATCGTGGCCCGAGGCGTGTGCGCGGCCCGGGGGGAGGGGCCAGGGGACTGACGGAAATGAGATGAGGCGCCATGAAATCTGAGGAAATTCCAAGGCCCCGGCCGCCATGATATCCACCCACCCCTGCCCAAACCCCCGACGTCGTGGTTTTTACATGACATGACACCTTCACGGGGACCGACTTTTCCTCGGGAAGGGCCCCGGGAGGCCGAAAATTGCAGCAACAACAACAATCATTCTAAGAATGTTCGCTCTTACTTGCCCGTGCGTCATTCAAAACGAGCTCCCCACACCCTCGATACCCGCCCTGCTTGTCTTCGATCACACCCCCTTTGGGGGGATTATTTCTCTTTGCGGGGGGCGGCGGGCTTAGACAGGAAGGCAAACCTGAACGGGCGGACAATCCTTCGTGGGCGTACATGTGCCCGCCGGCCATTAAAACTGGTGCGGGCCCTGCAAAATGAGGAGGGGGAGAACGAGGGAGAGTGGGAGGAAGGGAAGGGGAGGGACGAAGGAAGAGGGAAAACGCCAGGAGAAAAGGAGCGAAGAAGGGGGCGGTTGATTAGAGGCAGAGAGAGAAAGAGAAAGAGAAACAAACAAAAAAAAAAGGTAGAGGAAGAGGGGAGAGAGAGAGAGAGAGAGAGAAAAAAAAAAAAAAGAGAGAGAGAGAGAAGAAAGAAAGAAAGAAAGAGGGAGGGAGGAGGCAGGAGAGGGGAGGGAGAAGGGAGGAGGGAGAGGAGGGAGAGGGGATAGGGCAGAGAGGCATAAGGATGAGAAAAGCGAGGAGGGAGAGATAAGGGAGGAGAGGGGGGAGGAGGGAGGAGGGAGAGGGAATAGGAGCAGGAAGGTAAGAGCGTGAACGTACAAGGAAGTCCTAGGCGAAAGCGCCGTTCCTGAAGGAAGTCTCGGGCGGGAGCCAACGACGGGCGGGCAATCCCCAGACGGGCGGGTCGGGCGGGTGGGACATCCAAGCGGGATGCCTGAGTATGGCGAGAGCGCGATTACTAAGTCAATTGTAACGGCGTCCTTGGCGCAGCGTGTTTCCTGAGCGTCGAAAGCGCGATGTCTAAATAAATTGCATGGAAATGACAAGCGAGAGCGCAATTTCTGAATAAAATGTGAGGGGTTCTCTGGCGGGAGCGGGGGTCTTGATTAACGAGGAAGTCTTGACTCAATTGCGAGGAAGTCTCCAGCGGGAGCGCCGTTCCTGAGTCAATTGTGAGGAAGTCTGAGATGGGAGCGGGGGTCCTGATTAAATTGCGAAGAAGTCACAAGCGGGAGCACTGATCCTGAGTAAATTGTGAGGAAGTCTCTGGAGCGGGGGTCCTGAGTAAATTTGGAGGAAATCTCAAGCGGGAGCCGTTGTTGTTGTAATCCGGGGGGCCAGGGGCCCAGTTTGAGCAGGAAGACTTTCCCTGACAAAAAAACAGGGTGCGAGCGTCGAGGGGCACACTTTGATTTAGAAAAAACAGCATGCACTGATGAGGGGGAATCCGCAATAATTATTTTTTCATACATGAGAGTTCAACAACAACAACAACAACAACAACAACAACAACAACAACAACAACAACAACAACAACAACAACAACAACAACAACAACAACAACAACAACAACAAAACCTCCTGTCATGTTTTCGATGCTTCACAGCGCGAGAGGTCTGGGTCAGGGCCCTGGCCGCCAAAGATCCACCCCCACTAGATCAGCACCCCCCTATTGGCCGCCCCCACGCTCGGGTTCGACTCGGGCATACCCCGGGAGAACGCCCTCGGCAACGCAGTTCCTGGAACAAAAATCTCCAGAGGCTGGACAATCGCCGAAATCATCCGAAAACCTCCGAAGACCTCCAAACCTTTGGGGAGACCAAAAGGGACAAGGGAAGGGCAGAGGTATGGGTACCTTTTCCTCCTCTGAACGCCCGAAAACCTTTCAACCTCACACTTGTTCGAAGTCCCCAGACCCCTGACGTCGCGATTTGTTCCCAGCGCCGACCCCCAGAAGTCTCGACCCATGTTCCCCAGCACCAGCTCCTCGTCTCGTGCTGGCCACGAGGCCTGGCGAGGGCTCCCGGAGGCCGAGAAACGCGAAAGCCCTCCCGTTGTGCTTTTCGTCGCAGCGCGAGGGGGTCTGGGTCCAAGGTCTGTGAAAGGGGCCCTGGGACACACAACTAAGTACACACAAATAGAAATATCCCCCATATTTCCCCATATTTTCTGCGTCTCTGTTTGCCCCCCACTGCCAATATGTTCCAAGATTTTCCTGGGAGTCGACGACTAATTGCGCCTGTGTGTTCATTCCCCTCCTGAGTCTGGGAGGGGACCTCCCCGAGCCCCTCCGCCGCTCCGAGCCGCGCCAACGCGGCTCCGCCCGTCCCACCACGAGCGCCCTGCGGGCCGCACCCGGGAGGCCTGCCACTCGCCCTGCGGCAGGTGCTCCAGCGCCGCCGCGAAGAGGAGCACCGCCTCCTCGTCGGGGGGTGGGCTCGGGATGCGGACGCGGACGGGGGGGGTACGGCCGGACCTGGGACAGAAGAGCACCCTTCAAGAACATGACCCCTTCCGCGGGCCAAACTGGAAGAGCCTTCGAGGGCACCCTCCCCCTGGGTGCACAAGAACCTCCAGCGAGCACGAACAACACTAGGGTACCCAAGCTCGAGACATGGGCGCGGACTGGGGGATACGGCCAGACCTACGACAGAATGGTCTCCGCCAGCACGCGACGGAACAGGGGACGATCAGAAATGGGCAGCGCATGATTGGACCATGCCAGGATCCACACGTTCCCTGCCCATGTGAGGGGGGGCCGCACTCCGACGACCGACAGAGGTTGCAAGACGACCGAGGAGCGCGGATCGGCGCACGCATCCCAGCGCCCGCACGCCCGCGCACGCACCGCGCCTTGAGCCCCGGACTCCGCGGCAGACCCCCAGAACCCGGAGCAATCGCCTCCCGGGGCCTCTTTGCGGATCAGAGATCAGGAAGGAGGAAGGAGGGAGGAGGGAGGAGGGAGGAGGGAGGAGGGAGGAGGAGGAGGAGGAGGAGGAGGGAGGAGGGAGGAGGAGGGGAGGAGGGAGGAGGGAGGAGGGAGGAGGGAGGAGGAGGAGGGAGGGGAGGAGGAGGAGGAGGTGGAGGTGGAGGTGGAGCGTGGCTGAGACGAGTCCGTTCCAGCATGCCTGCCTGCCCACTCCCCCCCCCCCCACGCGCCCGCACCACGATGCACTCGAGGTGAGCGCGATCGAGGAGGTGCCGCTGCCTGCCTCTTGTCGGGAGGCGAGGAGGGAGGAGGGAGGAGGAGGAGGAGGAGGAGGAGGAGGAGGAGGAGGCCGGGACAGAAGCTCATGAACAGAAGGTGGCGCGTGGGAGCCCCAAAACGGCGCGGTGGCAGACAGCGCAGTGACCTCGCAGATCCAGATGGGGACCTCGCCGCACGGCCCCGCCGCCGCACGGCTCGGCGACCCCTCGGAGGCCCCGGCCGCCCGAGAGGCACCCTCGGAGCACGCCCCGAGCCCCAGAGCCGCGCGGCCACTCCGAGGCCCCACTGGCGCAGCACGCGGCGTGGTAGGACTACCTACCAGGCCACCCCGACCCAACCCGAAGACCCGAGTTTGACCCGAATTTCGGGTTGGGGGGGGGTACGGGTTCCACGTGTTTTTTTCGATGTTCCCCGACCCCCCCCCCACTGGAAATGGAGGGCAAATTGAAGCCTTCGGGTTGGGTTGAGGTGGTTTGGTGGGTGGCGAGTGGTCCCCGCACCATTCCCAGACCCTCGACGCTGTGAATCTGTCACAACGTCGACCCCCAGAAGTTCTGGACCCCTTTCCGGGGACCAGTTTTTCATCCTGAGTCGTTTTGTGGACGGTCCCGAGGCCCGGGAAGGGCCCCAGGAGGCCGAAAGTAGCACAAAAAAACCTCCCATCATGATTTTTCACGGCGCTAGAGGGTCTGGGACCCCGTCAGGGGCCTCCGAAATGGGCCGAAAATAACGGGAAACCTCCCGTCGTGATTTTCTCATGACTCGAGGGGGTCTGGGCATTCAAAGAAGGCCTCCGAAAGGGGCCCCGGCAAGAATCGGTCGCGGCCCTGGCGGCGCTCCTTCCGCACGTACGCGGACGGGTCCGCCTGGCACGCCTGCAGGACGCTCGGGATCCTGCCGCCCACCAGCGCCTGGGCAGGCTGCGCGTCGGGATACGCCCCTTGAGGTCCTGCAGCTCAGCGGTCTGGCCCTTGAGCGTCTCCCCAGCCGCCATGGAGACGCTCAAGGGCCAGATCGCTGACCTGAAGGATCTCAAGGTGCGTACGGCAGGTTCGTGTCGTGCCGACCCCAGCGTTGGTTTTTGACACCGCAGGGATCGTTCAACCTTGAACGATCGGCCGCTGCCGCAACGTCCGATCGTTCAACATCGATCGATTCTGGGTCGCTGGCGGCGTTCAACCTTGAACGCCCGCGCTGGGGTCGCCGCTGGTCGACACGACGCAAACCTACCGTATGGGAGGGCATGTGCGGCCGGCCGTCCTGCTGCCAAAAGGAGCGCCGAATGCGGACCGGAGGGGCTCGTCGGGCCACGGCAGGCCTCGGCCGCGAGGAGGCTCCCCGACCCAGATCCGAAGGATTGCACGAAGGACTGCAAAAAAAAAACAGAGCGAAGGATTGCAAAAAAAAAACGTGCGTTCGACCAGGGTCTTTTTTTGCAACCCTTCGCTCAAGGAGCGGGGCGCGACCACGGGAGCCCCGCCCCGAGCCCAGAGGTGGTCCCGAGCTGCGGCGCGCGGGCCTGCAGGAGGCCCCGCAGAAGGAGCGCGCGGACCTCCGACGTTTGAGGAGGAGGAGGAGGAGGAGGAGGAGGAGGAGGAGGAGGAGGAGGAGGCCCCGCGGGGAGCACGAGAAAGGGAGGGGGGCAGGCACGCGCAGGGCGCCAAGGGGGGCGGGAGACGGGCGGGCCGAGCGAGGACGGAGGCCTGCTGTGAGCGGCGAAGGGATGCGCAGGGATAAACCCACCGGCCCTCCGGGCGCGGGTGGCAGCGGTTCAGATCAGCGAGCGACGAACGGTATAGAAAAAAAGCTTTTTCGCTGTCGGGGGCGCCTGTCCCTGGGCGGCTGGAAAGTTTGTACCCCTACGGTGCCGCCGTAGGGGTATAGACTTTCCAGCCGCCCTGGGACAGGCGCCCGCGACAGCGAAAAAGTTTATGTTATACCGTTCTTCGCCCGTTACTTAAAGCGTTTCCTCTTCCAGCTTCCCCCCTCCCTTTCGGGGAAGGCTTTCTTACTGTTCCCTGTCAATAAACACCCCTTCCCCCACCCGACTGCGAGCCAACCTGGGGCATGCCCCCCCCCCCTACCGCCATCCCCGTCGAAAAAACCATACAGAATGCAGTCTGTCTCCAAATGTCGAGCATGCGAGAGTAGCCCGCGACCACTCTGCATAGGTTTTTGACAGGGACGGCGGGGGTGCCGGCATGTTGTCTGTTGCGCACAAGTTGCGCGCAAGCCGACGGTCCCTGACAAAAAACCATACAACATGCACTTTGCCTCGAAATCCAGGGCAAGCGCGGGCGCCCCGCGACCATTCGGCGGGCGCCCCGCGACCGCTCTGCATGGGCTTCTGACAAGGATGGTGGGGGTGCCAGCATATTGCCTGATGCGCGCAGGCCAACCATCCCTGTCACAATTTCCTGGCGAACGGCCCAACCATATGCAGTTGTGAATGTCGCCGTTGTGGGCATCGCCTTCGGTGGATCTCCCTATGGAGCCACGAAGCGTGTAAAGGGTGTGCCGATTTTGGGCGGGGACGCATGCGGGTGCAGCCATCGGCGCCTTCGGTGGCGGTCCATGTGGGGCCACGAAACGTGTGAGGAGTGTGCCGAAAAGGAGCGGAGCCACCATGCCAACGTCGCCACTAGGGCCTTCGGTGGAGTTCCTTATGGGGCCACGAAACTTCCCACTGACTGGGGAAGACGCATGCGAAAGCCGCCACTCGGTGGAGCTCTTTATGGGTCCACGAAATAATTTACTGGGCGGGGGAGACGAATGCGAGCACCGCCACTGGGACCTTCGATGGAGTTCCCTATGGGGCCACGAAATGCTGCAGTGGGCGAAGGGGTCGCTTGCGAACGCCACCACTGGCGCCTTCAGTGGAGCTTCCGAAACACTGAACTGAGTAGGGGAAACGTATGCGGACACCGCCACTGGGGCCTTCGGTGGAGCTCCCTATGGGGCCACGAAACGTTGTACTGGCGGAAACGCATGCGAACACCGCCACTGCCACGAAACGCTGTACTGGGTGGAGGTGGCGCATTCGGGCAGTGCCTCTGGGGCTTTCGGTGCGAATCCCTATGGGGCCACGAAGCGTCGTACTGGGCGGGGGTAACGCATGCGGGCGGTGCCACTGGGGCCTTCGGTGGCGCTCCATATGGGGCCACGAAACGCTGTTCTGACTGGCGGTGACGCACGCGGGCGGTGCCACTGGGGCCTTCGGTGGGGCTCCCCGTGGGACCACGAAACGCTGTACTGGGCGGGAGTGGCGCATGCGGGCGGTGCCATTGGAGCCTTCGGTGGAGTTCCCTAAGGGGCCACGAAACGCTGTACTGAGTGGGGGTGACGCAAGCGGGGGTGCCACTGGGGCCTTCGGTGGAGATCCCTGTGGGGCCTCTGTACTGGGTGGGGGTGACGCACGCGGGCGGTGCTACTGGGGCCTTCGGTGGAGCTCCCTATGGGGCCACGAAACGTGCGATGGATGACACGCGGAAAGCAGAAGAAGGGGCGCTGATGATGATGACGCTGATGACGATGACGATGACAAAAACGACGTTGATGGTGACGGTGGTGATGATAACGATGATGGTGGGAGAAGGGAGGAGGGGAAGGAGGAGAGGAACGTCGACGATGATGATGATGATGATGATGATGATGATGATGATGATGATGATGATGATGATGATGATGATGATGATGGTATTAATGACGATGATGATAATGTCGGCGCTGACACTGATGATGACGGAGGAGGAAAGAAGAGGGGGAGGAGGAAGGAAGCAAGGAGTGAATGACGCGGGGCGCCCCCTTCAAAACGAGGACCCGGCACCACAGGATGGCCGGAAGAAAAAAAACGCACGTGGCGCAGATCGCCTGCAACCCTGGAGCACGCGCGGGTGCGCCCCACCCACGACTTTCACTGGCGTCCAACACACGTTGCGCGCAAGCTGTGCGCAAGCCAACCGTCCTTCTCGAGGAGCAGCACTTGAATGCACAGCGCCTCCAAATCCGGAGCACCCGCGGGCGCCCCGCGACCACTCCGCGGTGGCTTTTGCCACGGACGGCGGGGGCGCCGGCAGATTGCTTGATGCCCGAAGGCTGAAACCCTGAGCTGGGCCCCCCTCCTCCTCCTCCTCCTCCTCCCTCCTCCTCCTCCTCCTCCTCCTCCTCCTCCTCCTCCTCCTCCTCCTCCCTCATCCTCCTCCTCCTCCTCCTCCTCATCCTCATCCTCCCTCCTCCCCCCTCCTCCTCCTCCTCCTCCTCCTCCTCCTCATCCTCCTCCTCCCCCCTCCTCCTCCTCCTCCTGTCAGTTCGAGTGGCTGGAAGCACATGGTCACATGGATTCCAGTCCGTAGATGTGCACCATGGCGGGGATGATGCGGCCGCCTGTTACCGACGTGACCCGAAAATCGGACGGCCTCCTACTGATTGCGCCATAAGTTCTGGCCTCCGCTGGCTGGAAATACAAAGGCCGGCTATTGATTGCGCCATAGGTGGCGCCCTCGGCTGGCCGAACACAAAACAATCTCCTTTTGATTGCACCATTGGTTGCGCCTCCGCTGGCAGAACCGGAAACGAACGCCTATCTTTCTATAGCTCTGCGACACGATCAATGATGGTCGAGCGGTGCCAGGCGTTCATCACGAGGGCAAGCGCGCAGTGCGAGAGAATGAGGTTTCCCACTGAACCTTGACATGCGAACGAAACAAACGCTTCGGCGTACTGCTTGGATCTACCGGCCACTGTTTGGCCACCACCGTCTTCACGAGTTCCTCGTAATTGACCTGCCCGTCGCCACCGACGTCGTCCTCGCGAATCATCTCCTCGACCTCCTCGTCAGTGAGCCATCCGCGTCAACCTCGTTAACCGTGTCTTGCATGTCTTGCAGCTCCGCCTCGGTGGGATTCTGGCCAAGCGAACGCATGACTGTGCCAAGCTCTTTCGTGGTGATGGTGGCATCGCCATCCTTATCAGCGCAAGCGCCGGCTGACACTGCTCGCCCTTCTCGCACGCGCTGATCCAGAGCTATAGCTGATGACGTCGGACTCCAGCGTCGCTTCCCACATCTCGCGCAGCAGCGCAAGCGCCCGCTGCCACTGCTCGCCCTTCTTGCACGCGCTAGTCCAAGCGCTGTAGTTAACTAAGGCTGACCCGTGGACTCCGTCTACGACATCTTTCTGGAATAGTTCGCAGAGAACGGCGGAGATTTTGCCGAAAACCTGTGAGCACGGCGGCGGCCAGGGCGGCGGCAGCGAGACCGCACCTTCGTGTCCGAGCTCTTGCAGCGCTCCAGCAGCTTGGCCCTGGCGCACGGCACGTTCACCCCCCTCCTATTGAGGGCAGTTCTGAAGTCTCTCGGGGATGCGCGTCAAAGACGAGGCGTCTCAGGAGCGCCCAGGGAAGGGCTTGGGAGGCCCTTGGGGAGAGCCACCGGGAGAGCTGGGGAGGCTCGCAAGGATCTCCAAGGAGGGCCCAAGAGAGCTTCAAGAGGGAAAGAAATTCAACAAGATCCTGACAGAAGCCGCTGCTGGGTCGGACGTGCCCCGCTACGTTGGGGAGGCCGTTTTGTTGGAGTTCTGCTTACGGCGAAGCTCTCTCGGGCATGTCAGGAGCGCCGGGCCCCTTCTCTTGGAGGCAGTTTTGAGGCCTCTGTGGCCCCTTGGGGGGTTGAGGGCCTCTCAGGTCGGGCTCCTCTTGGGCCGTCTTGGGGCCACGTTCAGAACTCCGCACGTCATCTGGACCCTCATGAGGCTCCCTTCTGGGCCTTCTCGGGTTTCCTCCTCCTCCTGCTCCTCCTCCTCCTCCTCCTCCTCCTCCTCCTCCTCCTCCTCCTCCTCCTCCTTCTCCTGCTTCTCCTCCTCCTCCTCCTCCTCCTCCTCCTCCTCCTCCTCCTCCTCCTCCTCCTCCTGCTCTT